AGTACGGCTGGAGGAGTCTATGCAGCGATCTTGTGGAGATAATGGTTAATCTAGCTAATGGCAAGCACTTGTCAGCATAAATCCTGTGAGTTGTTCTTGTCAAGGTGTTACCGATGTTAGGTCTGGCTGCAAAACGAAGTGATGCCCTATGTTCCTAAACATTCCCTTCGTGCTGTATGGTAACTCGTTTAGGGAACTGACCGAAGTTGATGTTTTTCTCCATGTGGTTCTACTAACGACCTACTTAGAAATAACATGAACGTTTGTCTCCAATTTAATCATTATATTTTTACAGCTTCAAGAGGCAAGATAGAGCCGTCGGTTACTGCTGATACTTCAGAAGGTTGGAACAAGGCCTCTATTGAAATATTAGGTCTACTCTGGGACCTTAAGTTGCCTTAAGTCACCTTAAGTTGCCTAAAGTCGCCTTAAATCGCCTAAAGTCACAATGTTTTTTCTGTCAATTTTGCTGAAGTCGCCTTAAGTCGCCTTTTAACACTTCAGTAAAATAAAATCGCTTCAAGTCGCCTCAAAGCGCCTCAAATCGCCTAAAGTCGCAATGTTTTTACTGCCAATTTTGCTTAAGTCGCCTTAAATAGCCTAAAGTCCCCCAAAGTTACGGCTACTTAGGGACCCTGAGTAGGGCTAATATCGGAAAATAACGTAGAAGAACAACCAGACACTTCATCGAAAGTTCTGCACGGCCAAGAAATTATAGCAGCTGGCAATGAAAACTTTTTGAGAGTCACTGCAGGAAACTTTATCGAAATAATAGTGATAGATTCTTCGAAGCAGTGCAGGTAACCATAAACAGCGTATTTAACTTTTAGCTCTTTCAGTTCTTATTTGTTTTGAAAAATCACTGCCAATCTCTTGGCACATGCGTGCAATCAGGGGCAAACTGACCTGTTGATACTGGCTAAAAGTCTCAGCTTTCTGAAAAGTCTGAGTCAGCTGTGTATTTCGACCCTAGCTAGCGTCTGGATACCTTGCCTAAGCTCACAAGACTGGATTGAAAAAATCTTTCAGGCTCATTCTAAACCATAGCTTATACATTAAACTGATAGGAGAGGCAGAGTCCATGAAATGTGAAACGTCAAATGATCAAAAGCAGGTGCGCCTTCTTAATTTAAGGTGCTGCAATAAACATCATCAAATTGCATCAACCCTTAATAGATTCTGTAGTAATTATCTTATCGGCTACTTTGCATTTCCTGGAAAACTTATTGAGAAGAGCTAACTAGTGTTATCTACATTGATGTATCTCCCCCGAGGTAATGGGTTTGAAGATTATCATTACCCTTCTGCTAATACAAAAATATTATACATTGAGTAACCTGTAGTGCAGGTAAGTGGTCACCGTTCAAGTCTCCTGTGCAAGCCTTTTTTGACACATCAGGCATAGATATTAAACTATTACTCTTCATAGGGTAAATTTCCACATTTATCAAAAAGGGTAGAGAACACTTTTGAGATACAATGAAATATATGAAGTTCATATATTTTGTACTGCGGTATTAGATACATATGATGCACGATCCTCGCAGTAGATAGCGCTATTTAAGCAATAGCGAAAATCAGACCTGAAAAAAATCAGGCCTGTACGGAACACTTTTAGTCAACCCACAGTAAAAATAGTCACTTTGGAATAAATAAAAACTGCTTCCCTCAGTCTTATCATACTTTTCCCTTTCTTTTGTCCTAGAAAATTCAAGTATATTTGGTAAAAATCCAACAGGAAGAGAGAGAAATGTTTGAAAAGTATACGGCTGAAAACTGTTGGTGGCAAAATGATGTGCCTACTTCCGGTCTTCAACAAGCTACCAACGTAGACATATCTGAATGTCATGGTTCTGGCGCCAAACCCAAGGAGAAGATGGGCAAGTTAATCCGTCACAGTTTATTTCTTGACGAACTTTTGGAAGTAGTCGATGAGAAGTTGCTCCTCATTCAAGAATACAGCCATACATATATAATCATTATGTTACAGTATTACATTAGCGAATTATTTTGGTTGTAATAGTACCAATCTCTGAGCAAATGCGTAAAAACCGGTTAACACTAGTATTAAAGTTTTTAGAAAATGCTGGGTCAGGAATACATTCGACCTTACCCAAAATGCGAATAGTTATCCTACGCTCATTACACTGCATTAAAAATGTCTTTCAGGCTCTTTCTGACCCTTATGTTTACATTAAATTGATGGGAGCACGTTCGTTTACAACATCAGAAGCTGTCTTCAATCATCTTATGGAGATGCAATTGATACGGACAGGACACCATCGAAATCTGGGACGAAGTCAGTTGTACATGGCCGGAATCAGACTGACTTATCTTTTTTTAAGAACCTGCTCAGTGATGAATTCTCTGGAAAAGTTGAAAATTTCTACCACAGCCCCCCGAAATTGCTGAAAGGAGCTCTAGACTCTGTTTCAAGCAATCCCATAAGATCCTACTTCATCTTTTTGAATGGGACGGCCGTCCAGGGAGAGTTGGCATCGGATTACAGGGACCGGCTACTATAGGCAAGAGATAAAGTTGGTAAGAGTATCCTTCAGCTTGTAGTCAGTCCAAGTCTTCTTTTTTCTTCATTTGTCTGACATAATCCCTCTTCTCATAGACGCCAGTATACAAGAATTTTAAGTGTTCATACGGATTTTTTTAATAAAAATTCAATTGTTATCATTTTTGAAATGCAGCAAGATTTTTCGTGTGAACATGGCTGCATATAAAGCTTCCATCCAAAGGGGAATGTATTTTTTTATGCACAGATTTTTCTTTTTTTTAATTTTTGTCATGGTGTTACCTTTTTAATCGACGAGGAAAAGAGGGAATTTGGCATCATGCTGATGTATAACGCCTCCTTTTTCTCAGCTTTCTAATTGTTCTTAAAGGTTAGGTTGTTCTTAAATACTTTTGTTGTTGCAATCACAGAAAAAAGCCGTCACTGTCATCTGCTCTGATAATCGTCCGGTTGACAAAGATACTATTACAGCAAAGGTTACTAAAACACTCAGAGAAAAGGTCTGTATTATTTGGCGGAAGGAAAATGTTGTCCCTCTTGAGCATTTTTCGAGACAAATGGTGCCGTTCACCGATCACAGCCTCTTCCGGAGGTTTCGCAAAAAAAGATCATCCCGATCTTCACACGCCGCGAAAGCTTATGGACGAGTCAACACTAGTTTTGAAGACCTGATCTCGTTATGGTAGGATTTTATAATCCGAGGCAGAAAAGAGGTCTGGACAATGGGCCCCTTCTAAAGAGATAGTGGACAGCTTATTTAAAGAATGGCACTCTGCCCCCGACGTAGAATTAGTGATATATAGTGAAATAATAGTTTCTTTTTATATATATTTGTATACCCACAAAGTTAAATGTTAATTCTTAATTATTTAATTAATTATCTTGTATTTCTAAACCCATTGTAGCCCAGTCCCTATCCACGCATGTAATTTTATATATTTATTAAATAATTGTAACCACATTGTAATTAAGATTTTCTGTGAAAATGTGAGAAAGAAACTTATCTATCTATATATTTATCTATCTATAACACAGAAAACCTGGAGGAACACATTACCGGGTTGTTGTGAACGACAGTAGTCCTCCAAACAATTATATATTGTACAGTTCGTTAACAACATTGCTGCACTAGGGTCCGGTTGTTTTCCAACTTACAGTGAAAGTAAACCTACCCCTCCGCCTCTGGATTAACTCTATTTGAGAACAGACACCTCAAAATGTGTACTTTCTAGGGAAAATGCAGTGTACAGTTCAGACCAGCAGTAGAATTGTTACTGACCTATAATCTGCATGTCGTATCCAACATTTACTACGTCACTTTCAAAAGCGTGTGACCGGGGTAAGACCATGGGATGTAGAGAAGTCTGTTAATTTTTATCCAAATCATTAAATAAATATAAGGGCCATTTTTTCTACTCTCAGGCTTTAGTTTCATCTCATACATGGGTTCACAAAAAAATCGCGCATTTTGGAGGCTACTTCGAGCATGCTCAGATATCAAAATTCCTGCCACTTCCGTAATTTTGTTTCATTGGGAACGAGTCTGCTCCGGATAATGATGAGGGTTTTGAGCCTCTGATCTATAAACATAGGTAGAATGAAGCTGTCAATTGAAGATCTTGAGCTGCGATATACCGATCTCCAATTAATGCCCTGACTCTACAATTGATAGTAACTCGAGATTCTGAGACAGACGTTTAGACATCAAATTACATGTACCATAACCTCAATGACCAAACGCATCTTCATAAATGCACTCCTTTTAATATTATACTACCACACAATATATATATATATATAAAACAAACAAAGAATACATGCAAGAAGTTTTTGGAAAAATTACAATGTCACTCAAACAAGCTAGTGATGAGGCAAAATGAACAAACATAAAGGTCTATACAAAGGTATACAATTTTCTTGAAAAGAGAGCTTTTACTACATTTGAGTCGACTTCCTATCAGGGCTAAATCATAGGTACTAAAGAATGTAAGACGTGCACCTGATAATTCCCTCAGCTTTCAGATACCATGAAATATAGGAAGTTCATATATTTTGAACTGCGATGTTAGATACATATGATGAACGATCCTCGCAGTAGATAGCGCTATTTAAGCAATAGCGAAAATCAGACCTGACAAAAATCAGGCCTGTACGGGATTCGAACCACTGACCTAGAGAGCGCTGCACTGGTATCGCAGAGGTCAGTGGTTCGAATCCCGTACAGGCCTGATATTTTTCAGGTCTGATTTTCGCTATTGCTTAAATAGCGCTATCTACTGCGAGGATCGTGCATCATATGTATCTAACACCGCAGTTCAAAATATATGAACTTTATATATTTCATTGTATCTGATTTATCACTTTCACGGGTTTATTACGAATCAACTTAACGGCCTACTCCCAGTTGGCTTGTTAGCTCCATTGGTAGAGCGCTGCACTAGTATCGCAGAGGTCAGTGGTTCGAATCCCGTACAGGCCTGATTTTTTTCAGGTCTGATTTTCGCTATTGCTTAAATAGCGCTATCTATTGCGAGGATCGTGCATCATATGTATCCCTCAGCTTTATTCGTGATTTGAATTCTCTCTTACTTAATTCTAGATATATTGTCTAAAGACAACAATTACATAAGAAAAGTTTATAGTTGATGAAGATCTCTCAATAATAACATTTGACTTACGGCAAGCATTTGTATTTACGATCAATTGGAGGTTCATCTTCGTGCTCCACTGGAGTTGGGTACTTAAGATTACTAGCTACACACTCTGAATGCCGCACTTGCTTCTTTGGACTCTCCCTTTTAGTTTGTCGCATCCTGATGGATCGCTCTCCGCACTTTAATGCTTTTTCCATCAGCTCCAAGACTCGCTCTTTATAAACTGGATCAAGATCTTTTCCCGGTAAAGGGTTGGCGATCATAAACACGTTTCTCATGTCACTACCAGTGACTTTAATAGCTGCTTCTTTCAATCGCTTCCTTTCCTCATCGGCGTTTGGATTCCTCTGGACTTCGTCGTCGAACGTTAAGACAGTTAAAATGGTGATTACTACAACAGAATGAAGAGAGATTTCAGATAATGCACATTAATGTCATTGATGTTAAAAGTGAATACCTATCCTGGTATAAGAGTCAGCTTAATATCCAGGCTGTTTTCTTCGAACCAGCCGGCCAAAAGGTCATTAATGACTCCGTAAGCCGGTCAGCCCGTCAAATTGGAAAGGTGTCAAGTAGTCAAGCAGGCATGCAGTCAGGCATTCCGTCCACCTGCCCGTAATTTGAATTATTCCCGTCAGTGAAAGCTTTTTTAGAAATAAGATATGATATCAACATTTAAAAGCGTCAGTTCCATACGGATTAAATATTTAGAATTTAATTATTTTTGACAGACTCTTTTGAGCGCTAACAAATGAGAAGACGTACGTCGTATACTACCTCTCTGTAAATGTCCTACTTACTGGTCTCCCGCAGTTGATCTTGAACATACTTGATGATCTCTCTGTATTGACCCAATCCAAATCTGATGTCAATGGCTTTTATAACCCAAAGAACGACGTGCATTTGGTCGGTTATCGGAGGTTTTTCAAGCTTGTGGGCACCCTGGCCAGCGGCTTTTGCTTTTCGAGCGCTTTCCTCATCTCGTTTCAGGTCATCTCCTGGTCGCTCAATTCCATTTAGGATACGAAATAGTTCGCCTATATTTGTATCATATGTTTGCAATAAGTATGTAAAGGAGGGTACATCGTCGAGTACTTTTAAACATTCACCTTTCTATGATTATTTTTAACCCTGAACAGGAAATAATGATTCAAAACCTTGACTGATTCATTCCAAAATTTATGAAGAATTCATTCCAAAATTTCTGAAAAGTTGCGGGAGGAAAGTTGTGAAAGATCTCTAAAAAGCGGTATGTATAAAAACCCTTTTGCAAGGTCAATTGAATATTAAAACCTCAAAGGAGTCAGAATATCTCAGAAAAGATTTAAAATGGACAGCAATTGTAAAAGAATCACCTTATAACATAAATCAAGTAAAGCGTGCGCTCTGTTTGGTCAATTCAGTGTCTACTATTTGCTTAAGGGTGTGCGCTGTTGACGTGAGCAAATGTTTCCAAGTAAGCAAACTTTGGCAAGAAATGCTTTTTATGTTATAAAACAAATGGTAAATACCACAGCCCACAATATACAGTAGTGGATGCACGCTGGAAGTTCTATTCAAGAAGCTGGAGTCGCTTGAAGCCTCGTGCTTAGCAACCTCCCGCGTGCACCCATAACTCAATAGTGTACGCTGTGATGTTCACCATTTGTTAATTCTTTAACAAGCTGCCTGCAGGCATAAGGTGTGACCATTTACCTTGAAAATGGTCTCAACAAAACAATAATTTGTCTGAGACTGGTGGCAACTGATTTAAATTTGTTCTGGAGCTTAAAAGCTATGTTTTCGTGCTGATCTAGCAACAAATAGGGAGCATTTTACACGTGAGATTTCTCACAACCACGTTGAATCGTTTAACCTGCAATTCGGTAGTCATTATCAGGAGACTCGATTGCTCGCCGCCGACCTAGATCCGCACTCGAGTGGAGCCAACTTAAAAACTTTCTTACTCAAGCTTTTATTTCCTCCGCAACCGAATTTACCTCGCTTCCTCCTCGTTTAGCTCACGCAAACATGTCTGTCACGCACTCCCAGTTATCTCAAATAATGATTTCCACGCGAAAAAAAAGACATCGTGAAAACACCAACAGAACGCATGAAAACAGGGATGTGTAAATATACCAAACCTTTCCAATATCTAATACATCGAAATTCAGGATTAAAAAGGACCTACCCTCTTCTTTGAAATCCATCTCGAAAAATCCCCGTGTGTCGAAAAGCGTGATTTGTTTACCGGGAAGAACAAAGCTTTCCAAAACCTTCGTTCCTTCCTTCCCAGTGCTTTGAATAACAGCAACCTTTGGATACCCTAATGACTGGAATATTGTGTTAATCAAAGCTGATTTCCCTGACCCAGTCATGCCAAAGACCGCAATATTAATACAGCAACCTTCCATTTCGCCTTCGATGGCATCATGAAACTTCTCGAAGTCTCCGATCTTGTAATCGCGTATCCTGTCACAAAGCGAAGAAATCTCGTCTTGTAGCTCAGCCATAAGCTATTTCAAAACCCTTACCACATGATTTATTGCTTTCTTTGACTTTAGGAATGAGAAATTGAAGACCACGTATGCCTTCGCATGACACAAAGTAGACAAGGATGCAAAACCATGATCATGTGACGTCACAAACAGTTTTCCGAGAAAGTGCAAAATTATACTCACACTTTTCTAGCACTTGTTCATCAAAAGACACCGAAATTTTTCTGTAGAGTAGGAATCAATTTCTTTTCTTGATGTTTGAGCCAGCTCTGTTCTGGGATATAATTAAACCACCTATAACAAACTCCGCGAATTACGTGACAGGGTAGTTTCACGCGATGACCTTATGCAAATTCAGTCTCTGAAATTTGGAAACCAAATGGTCCTGCGCATAAAATTCCGAGAAATTAAGCGTGACAAGCATGTCTGTGGAACTACTGGAATTAAAGACAGAGAGAGGTACTCCTATACGTTTTCATCTTTTTAATTGTGACAGAACGTATAATCTGGATGTCGTTGAAAACTTGCTGAGCGCGGTCAATGAGAAATCAACTGGCCTTGACATAGACTCGGAACAGAAGTACTTTCGTCTCCCCGAAATGTCCAACTTGTGCGATACTTTAAGGTCTGGACCACCCATGGATTTTGCTGTTTTTGCTGTTAACGCGAACGAATCACGGCTGTCCATTAATGAAAAGAACGCCGGAATAGGTTATGGAAAGTTCTACAGGGCTCTATTGAAGGCAACAGGTCAGTAATGAAGAGGATTCTTGTGAGGCTTTAAAGTTTTTGTTATAATTATGAAAACGAAATTAGGCATGAAACTTAAAGGAAGGGAAGGCAGGGTAAAATACGATGGCTTTAATGAGGGATTTAACTCACGAGAAAGAGCCTTCTTTGCTGCTAAATATAACTGAATGTAATGATAAACTGATAAACCTGCGTTCGTACATTATTTCGTCACAGTATATCAAATGCAAGAGGAAGATCTTTTCATTTTCTGAGAAAACTGAAAGTTTTTCTTTTAAATTCGAATCCCTTTTGGTAACCGTAAGAATTTTTATTTTTAATTCAAGCATTCATAACTACAGATGGATGTCGCTGTCATCGAATTCGAAGCTTTTTCACTGATTATATATCGCAAAAGCAAAATTAAGTAATATTTAAATAATCCTGAAATGTATTTTGTTGAAAGCCTCGACCTGTCTTAATATCTTTCTGTCACATTGTTAGGAGAAACAGTAAAATAACAATGAGCGCAAAGACTCCAAGTCGAGAGATCCATGCTCGAGACCTGGCTAGTGCATGGAATTGTGTCCTAGGGCGGCCTCTTCACTCTAATAGAGCCCCTCTCTCTACTCAGGAGTATAATTGGGTAATAACGTGGCCAAATGCTGGGAGGTAACTTGTGATGAACTGGCATTCCATCCATTGGGAATAACTACAATCATCCTTTTTAATAGCACGTGACACTTTCGTTTCTTTTTGTGATCGTTTCAGTTTTTACTTGTCCTTTTCCCCGCGAAGTTAAACCTTAGGATATGTCTTTCATGACAGAAATTTCACGTTAAGTCGTACTTACGTATGATGCACGATCCTCGCAGTAGAGAGCGCTATTTATGCAATAGCGAAAATCAGACCTGAAAAGTTAAGTTGATTCGTTAGTACGAATCAACTTAACGGCCTGCTCCCAGTTGGCTTGTTAGCTCAATTGGTAGAGCGCTGCACTAGTATCGCAGAGGTCAGTGGTTCGAATCTCGTACAGGCCTGATTTTTTTCAGGTCTGATTTTCGCTATTGCATAAATAGGGCTCTCTACTGCGAGGATCGTGCATCATACGTATCTATAACCGCAGTTCAAAATATATGAACTTCATATATTCATTGTATCTGATTTATCATCACGGGTTTAGTACGAATCAACTTAAAGGCTTGCTCCCAGTTGGCTTGTTAGCTCAATTGGTAGAGCGCTGCACTAGTATCGTAGAGGTCAGTGGTTCGAATCCCGTACAGGCCTTATTTTTTTCAGGTCTGATTTTCGATATTGCATAAATAGCGCCCTCTACTGCGAGGATCGTGCATCATACGTATCTATAACCGCAGTTCAAAATGTATGAAGTCGTACTTGTTATCATATCTAATAGGTGAACGAGTGATTGTGGTTATTGGTGCAGACGATAATTACAACGATGCTGCTGAAGAACAAAGATCTCTCCTCTCACGCTGGGCTCGAAGAAAGGTTTCATCCCAGTTCAATGAAGAATTCATGGATGGAAGCAAGGGCTTCATTTTGTCTTGGAACAAAGCTCACAGAGTGATTCACGAAGAGGCTCTGCAACATTTTCTCGATCCTAGCAAGAAGAATCACAAATTTGTCTTACAGAAAAAAGACCAATCACTATCGCATTTCAAGTCCTTAGATCAGAAACAGATGGTAACAGATGGAACTGCAACAGTTGTTACTGTGGTAGGACCCCATTTAACGTTACCGTTAGAGCTAAGGTGTAGTTTTCCCTAATTGGCAAATAATTTTTCGATCTCTAGCCTTTGAACAATTTTTTTTCGTAAAGTGGTTATTCTCAGAGGTCTATTTACAACTGCAATGTTACCGCGCAAAAAGGCTTAAATGCGTACTAAACTAAGTTTTCTTAATACTGAATATTTACAGCCGGCTTTCGTGAATGAAAATACCAGTATTGACGAGAGAACCTTTGCCAAGGTTTGACGCACAAAGCATCATTTTTTATTTACTATAGTTCCCTTGGAGACTGAAAGTAGACCAGATCAGGCGCAAGAGGCTTGAAACCTTTACTTTGATTTTTTTAAAAAAGTATCGTTTGCTTGAGTACGTGTGTTCCGTTTCTTTTGTCACAGAGAGCTGAATCTCAGGTGAGCAGGGACACCATTGCATCAACTAATGGAGAAGAAGACTACCTGGGAATGGAAAATAAGAAACTATCTGTGGGATATGCATTAGGCGCTAGGCCTAAGCAGGGCTCTAACTCTTTATTTCAGTCTTGTGCATCTTTTGACACTGAGACACATGACCATAAGAAGAAAGCTATGGATGTCAGCGGTAGGTTGAGTCAGTTTCAGTTGTTTTTTCGCTTTGATCTGGATCGATTTGTGACATAAAAGTAACCTTCCCCCATCTTTTTTTTCTTTTCGATCTCATCGTTAAAATGATCATGATCACTGTCATCATTATTAGCATCCCAATTATCAACATCCTAACTATCAACATCGTTTTCCTTTACCCTTGTATTACTATAGGTTGCACGATACTTTACTATCTCCTTTTTGTTGGTTATGTATAGAGTCCGGAAAAAGAATGGAAGCAGCCCGCCAGGAGTCCTTTGATTCCATGAACACAAATCCATTATCACCAATAAAGAAGGTACTGATCCTTGGTCGGGACCAGTCTGATGTACGTTTAGTGAATGAATTGTTTGCTGATGATGTTCTTAGCAAGGTTTGTATCTTCAACGGTTCCTCTGAAGATCCCGGGAGGGATTCATCAATCTTTGATGGCCCTCTAAAATCCTGTTTCATTGTTGTGGAAGCCAGAATCCTGAAGGATGAGCTGCAATTCAAATCACAGACAAAATCAAATAGATGCATGTTGGAATCGGCGAAACGAAATGTAGGTAAGGATATCTTCTAGAAGTATACATCCTTATTGGCTTCTGGGAACGTACCTCCTGGTGTTGGGGTCTGGCCTTGTCATTGTTTATACTGCCCTCAATTAAACAAGCTTTGAGCTGAACGAGGCCAGCCTGCCTAAATATCGCAAATATATAGAATACATACATAAATACGATACGTACATAAATAACATTGACATTAGCTTTTCTTTGGTACAACCACTATACCCCGCTGCGCGGAGACTTCATGTACATTGGAAGAAGAGGTGGTGCACAAAAACCAAAATACATAACACACATAAATAAAAACACTTTATTAGTGTTAAACATTAGATGGCGACTGACTTAAATTTGGAATTTAAAGTTTTACGAACGTTGTTGTAGGGCTTGCTACACAGACTACTATATGACCAACCAGTCATTCCAACCATCAAAACTTAGTTTACAAACATTGAGGGTTTGCCTGTTTTAAAGATATTTTTCACCGTGCTGTTGTGACAATCTCTTCAATTTTGATTTCAGACGGAAAAATTGTCGTAATTATCAGTGACCACAACAGTAACATGTCACTAAATGAAGAAAACTCCATCACATCAAGAATCAAGGAAATTCTTGACGATAAGGGCGTTATCTTTTGGTGGAAGGGGAACAACCCGCAAAAACAAACTCCTAGACGTTCGTGGTCGTTTGGACGGAAACGATCTCAAAAAGATAATGATAGTGCAGCACTCACTGTAGCGACTGAAAGTAAGGCTCGCCATCTATACACCGATGACTTTACCCTCCTTTTAAAGGCTCGCCTGCACTATGGTGAGATTTCTCTTGAAGATGAACATGAGAGGTTCAATGAAGATAAGCTTCCCCCAGAGATCAAGGAAAGTTTGAGGATAAAATGGCAATCGACTGCCGATGCAGAATTGCTTGTTTTTCGGGAGAAAAAAACTGGTGACTATCGCACCATTGTTAATCCAGTTGCAACTTCCCCAGTAGGTAAGGTGTACGAGATGTTCTTCCCAACTTCAGGGAATCCCTTTCGTCGGCTGTAAGAAATATAGCTGAAAACGCCATGCATCATGCGATATGAGATTATTTGTACAATGTGTACAAGTGGCATTTACTGGTGCCATAAAGTCTGAAAGTTGATTTCCATCAATGTTACAGCATAACTAGTTCAGTTTTGCTATCGTACAATGTAACTGTAATTGAGGTCATAGTTATATGAGGTCAAGTAATGTTCTACAAAATTTTAAAGTTTCACAAATTTTGGAGGAAATATTTATAAAAATTATTTTCATCGTGTCATATTTTCTTTAATTCTTTGAGAACTTACCCCAGTTTATTTCAAAATCCTTTGATGGCGACCGTCTTTGATTACACCGTGCCACCTAAAGAGCTATTTTCCAAAATTAGATATCTCATCTTTTAGAGCTCATTGAAAACTACACAATTACATCGAGTGTGCGCACGGTACTAAAATGAAAAAATACAATGTAATTGAAACAAGATGTCTTCCCTTTAAAAGCAAATTTATCATTGATCATGATAAGTTCAGATATGAACTACTAATTGTTATGAACACAATAAGGCTGAAATGTACGATAATGAGACGACTTTATGGCTTGATAGATCTCATTTTATCTATTTGCTTTCTTCTATGTTTCCGGATAATTTAGACGTTTGACATGAAGGAATGAACCATTTGTCCAATTTTTTTTGTTCCCTAAATACCTTTTATTTAAAGAAAAGTATTCATACTTGTTATTCAAACATCTTTAATGATATGTTCAACCGTAAAAGCCTTGTGACTTCCGGAAGCCATCCAAATATATCGTTTATCATTACAAATTTATTATCAATTCAAAGAAATCACTTGCTATTGATTATATATACGACTCTCATTTCAATGGTCAAAACAATCCTTCTTTTCATAATCGCAGCATTAAAGATGTACTATTCAAGTAATAGGTCGTAGTTGTATTCACGAATAGTTCTTGTAAGTGATTGTATATACATAGGAGACTGTAACGCAGTTGTATCTTTACAACACTATAGTATTTGCGTGACTCTTTTAGTGTGACGAGTATTCTCGGAATCGAAAAAAATTCCGCAAAGTCATTTCTAAGAACTCTATTTGCGCGTCCAACAAACTAAAAGACAAACAAACGAGTTTGAAAGAAGCTCAGTTCATTCTGCAGTCCAAAAATCCGCCTGGAATCATAAGCAATGTCCGAGAAGAAGCGCATCTATCTCTTCAACTGCGATAACACTTGCGATCTTACCGTAGTTGACGCTTTGATTCGAGCCGTCCAAGAGAAAATACCGTTTAATTTTACGGTATCGAAACGTTATTTTAATCTCCATGACATATCTCAATTCTGCGACAACACCATTGCTAAACTTCATATTGATTTCGCTTTTCTTGTGATTCATGCCGAAGAATCTTGTCTATCATTCAATGAAAGTAAACCGGAAGGCGGATACACCAAAGTTTACAGAGCATTGATGGACGCTACCGGTAAGTCTTCTCCACTGTCATGGCAGAAGTGATATTTTGCGGACATTTTTCAAGTTCATCTTTATACATTTTGTAGGGAGTGTGACTCAATAAGGTTTCTTGTAAATATAACGTCGTAAATAGACGCTATCGCTCGAAAAAGGTTAAACAAGGTGATTTCAATATGATTTACTGATAATAAAAAGAAAAGCGAGGAACCCCCCATTCGCGAATTGACATTGTAAAAAGAATTGAAACCGGACTAAATTTTAGCTTAATTGACTTCACCAAATGGGAACTGAACAAGCTTTAGTTTGCAATGAGGATAATACGAAGGATCAGCCCCCTGTAAACGAAACGGGGTGAAACGCTCTACGTAGTTGAAGCCAAACTTGTTGACTTTGAATCTCGTCAAGTTAAGAGCTAAAAATCCGGTAGTTTGGAAAATATGAAATGCCGGAATTCGGAACCAGAACGGAATACTCGGAATACCCGGAGTACCCGGAATTCCCGGAATGACCAAAAAATAATAAATTTTAAAAAAATTAAAATAAACTAATAAATAAATAAGAATATTGATGATTAAAAATTGATGGTAAATTCGCAACTTAATTCAATAATTTAATACGAAATTTTTCTCTGAGGGTCCCCCCACAAAAAAAACACTTACCGGCACTCTTCATGGAGATGCACGCATTAGAATTAAAAGAAAGTCTGCGTCAGGCCAGTAGCCCATAGAGCCTAAGCGACGAAACATTTGTACTCTAGTACTCTCACTTCCCCCTGAATGGGATGCTAATCCATTACATGGTTTCTCCCCGTTTTAAATTCGCCTCCACCCATTTACACACCTGTAGGATGTCTAGGGCGCCATGACCATTAGGCCGCCACGCTTTTCCAACCGGAACCATTGTAAAAAAATGCAATATTTCTAATTAGTTTAATAGTTCAACTGTAAAAAGCTCCGAACTATTACAAATTAATACTCTACCTTAAATAATTACAAACCAAACATTGGGAGCTATCAAAGCAGCTACCATTAAGACCAGCCGTCTACAATTAAAATTGAGAGATCGTCAGTTACTCGACACCTTTTACAGTTTATTATAAATACCTTGAATATATACCTTTGAATATAAACTTTGCTTAGAAGAATCCATCAGCACAAGATTTATATTCAAAGGTATATATTCAAGGTATATATAATAAACGCGAAAAGGTGTCTAGTAACTGACGATCTCAATTTTAATTGTAGACGGCTGGTCTTAATGGTAGCTGCTTTGATAGCTCCCAATGTGTGGTTAATAATCATTTAAGGTAGAGTATTAATTTCTAATAGTTCGGAGCTTTTTACAATTGAACTATTAAACTAATTGGAAATATTGCATTTGTTTAATCTTCTGCAATGTTCCCGGTTGTAAAAGCGTGGCGGCCTAACGGTCATGGCGCCCCAGACATCTTACAGGTGTGTAAATGGGTGGAGGTAAATTTAAAACGGAGAGTAACCATGTGATGGACTAGCATCCCATCGTGGGGGAGGAGAGAGTACAAATATTTCGTCGCTTAGGCTGTATGGCCTTCTGGCCTGACGCAAACTTTTTTTTAAATTCTAATACGTGTATCTCCATGAACAGTGCTGGTAAGTGTTTTTTTTTTTTGCCCCTCAGAGAAAAAATTCGTATTAAATTATTTAATTAGGTTGTGAATTTACCATTAATTTTTAATCATCAATATTATTATTTATTTATTTATCAATTTACTTTTATCTTTTTAAAATGTATTATTTTTAGGTCATTCCGGGAATTCCGGGAATTCCAGGTATTCCGGGTATTTCAGGTATTTCGAGTATTCTCGTTCGGGTTCCGAATTCCGGCATCCCTTGTTTTCCAAACTACCCTTGAAATCCACCTAGATACAAAGGTTTAGGTGTTGTCCATTGTGCTAAACTTCACTTAATAATTTGCTCAAAAAGTTACATATTTCATTACTTGAGGGGTAATTAAGTATTCTCGAATTACATAGGTTTGGACGGTTTATCTTTTCTTGTTATTCGAGGGTGAAGTGGACCTACCTCAATGTTTTTCTTTCTCACAATAAGTGTTTATGTTCTGGCAATTATATAGTGCCCCTCTTTACTAAAAAGTATAACGATACAGCTTCTGATACATTAGTTATCCCTAAACAGTCGGTTTTATAGGGGAATCCTTGTTTACAATATTTGCCTCATTAGCATAAGCAATTCAGTTTCTGATAGAGCTAAAAATAAATCAGTTCTGAATATCGAAAGGTCAAAGTACGATTAACTCGGCCAATGAATACGAGCCTGATGTATTGAATACTTTTTGTGCAACACGGGTTTAAAAACTCAAAATTAAAAATAGAATGTATGAGCTCATGAGCGCTTTTGCCACCCAGAAATTTTGCAGTTTTTGATGGACTATTTCTCCTTGAATATTACACCCAAAGAGCTAAAAAATTTCACCATGTACTAAGGTTTTCTAGCTCTTTAGCTGCGTGAAGTCAATTTGTATCTAACATGCTTCCTTCTTTACGCAAAGCCGTATGCAAATGAGCAAAAATGTAAACAATGACGTCAGCATGAATCCGCCTATTGAGCTGAGAACCGGATGATGATGTCGCTAGCAAAATAAATCAGCCGGTATTTTCAATATTGTATTTGTGATTAGCCTTACAAACATAATAAGACGTTTATCAGTGGCCTAAAGGTTTTGTTCCTAATCATCATTCTTAAGACGAGAAGGTCGCTGTGGTCATTGGTGGAGATAGTCATTACAAAAATCAAGCACAGGAGGATCAATATGTCTTGTCCCGCTGGGCACTTCGGGTTGTCAGCCCCCAGCTAAAGGAGGAGTTCCGTGATGGAAGAAAAAGCTTTGTATTTTCTTGGAATGAAAAGCACAGAACAATTCATGAGAAGGCACTGCTGCAGTTTCTTGATCCAGAGAAAGCAGGAGTCAAATTTGTTTGTCAGTCAGAGAGGTTTGCGAAACTGGAAGCAGCTGCTGTTGTTGAGAAGGTAATACGTTAATGACGAACACGTGGCAGGCATAAGATGTATTGAATATGTATATCAGCAGATTCAGTTTCGGAGGAGAGCCAAAACTAGGAATAACGCATTGAAAAGGAGGACTATTGTTAAACGTCAAGAGACAATAACGTCAAAAATGAGATGCATTTTTCTTGATGAGATACTGTCCTTACAAAGACCCAGGGCACAACCAAATGGAAAAGGAAAATTTTTGATCGCACTTCCCAGGAATTTGAGCAGTTAGCCTCATAGTATCCCAAACACAACCCACTCAGGTTTCTTGCCACGGGTCTGAGTATGCCGCATGGGAGCCGGCCTTGTATGTTGGTATTGCATGTTTGCAAGGGTTGATGAGTTTTATTGGTATACCAGCAAGGAAAATTGTTTGGGTTATGGGGTTGTCGAAAGATTGCCTCAAAGTGCTGATATGGCAAAATTCTTCTCCCTTTGGACGCTGAGAATCAACTGATTCTTACTGCATTAAATAAATTGGGAATTTTGGTTGCCTCAGACAAAAAAAGTCAACACTGAAACAGTGTGCATCTGCTTTTTCATTTACTTGGGAAAAGTCAAGGGAAAGCTAGAGACTGGCTAGCTTTATTGCAATCTAAAACATTTCTCTTTTTTCCTTCGCAGTCATTTTCTGCACTTGACGTAGGAACTTGCGATATTGTGGATTCTTTGACCAAGGAGGGCACAAAGGGTAATTATCTTACGGTCAGCAGTTTGTGAATATTACTATTGTCTCAAGCAAGGAAGTGATGACTTTTTTGCTCTTGCGAGAAGCATGACATGATTAGGTTCAGACTGATCGTGATTAGTCAGTATGGAATCGATCCTGATAAATTGGACTATTGGTTAAATTGTTGTTTTAATTTACGTTCCCCTTTTTGTTGGGAGTCATATCTTATGTTTTCAAAGATAGTGTTTTTTTTTTTTTCAATTTGGTGAACAAAAGTTAGTCATGTCCACAATATGTCCAATGCTCACCATTTTTCTTCTTCTCAGGTATCGTGGATTTCATGGGTCTCTGTTGTGACCAATCAGCCGCGACAGTTATCAAGGACATTTACCCCCTGTTAGGCACTCCTACTGACATACATGTTAGTAGCCCCAAAGAGCTGAAATCGCATCTACTGGAGGGTACCTGTGTGTCGTTGTGTGTAATTGAGCTGCAGGCGAATGATTTAAAAGAAATTGCGTCGTCAAACGAATGGGATAAATCTGACTTTGGAGATCTGCTGAGGACTGCTCAAAAAGCAGCTGGTAAGAAAAGCCACAGAATATGCAAACTAACTTTTTAAGGACATGGTGCCTCATGTGCCATGGGCCCTCTGCTATGGTGTAGTGAACAGGCCACTAAAGCATGTTCCAGATCTTGTTCAGTGGGCTTCTGTCAAAGGCTCAATTTTCAATAAACCGAAGATGTAGCTCTTAGCTGTGGTCGACTAAATAGCCAGTAAGACTCAATCCTTATATTAATGGGAGAGTTTTAGTTCCGTATAAGCTTGACAACCAAGAATGATAGCAGGATGATTATTTTTACCCCTTAACGTAGAAACAACAATATAATGTAGAAGAATCTGCCTTGTACTATCATATTCTATCATTTATACTTTGAAATTGATTTAAGTAAACATTTGCTGGACAATCCTGTTTCTTAATAGATATGGATATATTTATGTACGAGACTGATTTACCTTTATGAAATACAATATTATAACAGTAGCTTTTATCTGACGTATTCTTACGTTTTAATATTCAGACAGAGTGGTAGTCGTTGTAATGTACTCAGACAGAACAAAGGAGACGTTACCATTATCACAAAGTGAAGAAGTCCAAATAACTGAGAAAGTAGAGTTGTTCATTGGCGAGAAAGGCATTGTTCTTTGGTGGAGAGGCAAACCCCGTAAGTCAGAACCATGTGGAAAAACGTTACCACAAGCAGGGGCCCGACTGAGTATCGACTGAAAATCAATGCAAAGAAGTGTTAAACGATATGAAACAGATGTAAATTTTCCAAATGAAACTTAGAAGTCATGATATGAAACAGATGTAAATTTTCCAACTGAACCTTAAAATTCATGAAAGAATGTTTTGATTTTTTGTTTTTGTTTGTTTGTTTGTTTTTGTATGAAAAATTCACGTAAATGTGAAGAAGAAAAACAAAAACTAAAAAAACGTCTAATTTTTTCTCCTGATTGAGTCTAGTTTTGATAGCTATGGAAAGGCTTTTCAAAATCGATCCTTGAATATATTCTGACCATACTCAAGAGAAAAGTCAGTTGAATCATTATTTACAAATGGAATTGACTATTTTTACGAATTTATCGTCGCATTAGTGTTTCGTTTTATGATGTCGGTGTTCATCATCAAATGTCCTGTTACGCTAGAGTGGTCAGTAATTGCACTGAGACAAAGGCAAAGTAAGTTGTGTGACTGTTCACTTTCAAACCTACTGTCACGCAGTAGTATTCACGGAAAAGTCGTAACGTCATTTCTCTGAATTGTCACAGAATGAGCAAATCTCGAGCGAGGGAATAAGTAAACACAGTGAACTAAACCGACGGTGTTTTGTTCGGAAAAGCTAACTGAATCATCTCATGGCGAAAGGCACGACTCAAACCGTTTATCTTTTTAACTGTGATAGCACGTTCAAACTGGATTCAGTGGAAATGCTTTTACTCGCAATGAACGGTAAATACAAACTCAATATTGAAAAGCTTTATTTTCGTCTGAATCAAATAGTAGAAATTTGTGAAACCACTATTCCTCGATTACAAATGGACATGGCTGTTTTTGTGGTTCATGCACATGAATCTCGACTGTCGATCAACGAGGACGACGCCGGAATCGGTTACGCGAAGATCTACAGTGCTTTGTTAGACGCCACCGGTGAGTTCAACAAGAGATCAGTTTCTTTAGAGTTTTATCCAACGCTAAAAACCTGATTATTGATGAAAGATATGTTTTCTAAAGTTACAAAGAGATGGATTTGATTTATTTTTTTTTCGGGTGAGACGACAGTCTTTTCATATTTCGCTGACAACTTTCGCTTTTGAGCCATCGGCCATTGGTCACATGACGTTTGTTTTTATGTCACGCAGTGATTACCGGAAGTTTGTCGCGTTGGAAAATGTCATCCCTTAAAGTCCTTAAAGTCACTATTTAAGACAAGGAACTAAGAGATATTTGCGATCTTATTAAAACAAAGGTACAAAAAAGTGCGTTACGCTTGCATACACCGTAAAAATCAAACATTGTTATGGTGAGAATAAGTAAAAAAATAATGATTTCTTCAGTTCCAGTTGAATAAGTACAGAATATTATATGCATGAGTTGAGGTCAGTCATATTAAGTTGTCAACTCTCCACTGAGGCACGTTCGAACTGAAAGTCAAACGTTGCGCAAATATTGTTTAGAATTCTGTACTTACAATTATCACTTGTCAAAAAAAAAAAAATCCTGAAACTCATAATTAGGGAACAAGGTGTTCATAGTCATTGGTGGCGATGACAACTACAAAGATGAAGAAGAAAAAGCCAAGTTTGTATTCTCACGTTGGGCGCGTGGAAAAGTAGCTTCACAGTTCGATGAGGAGTATCTTGATGGTAGGAAAAGCTTCATTTTCTCATGGAGCGATAGCCACCGAGCGATTCACGTGGAGGCACTGTTGCATTTTCTGGATACCAATAAGAGCGGACAGAAGTTTGAATATCTACCGAAATCAGAACCTGTCACTTTGCCTGCAGTGATAGATAATGAGAGAAAGGAATCAGAACCTGTCACTTCGTCTGCAGTGATAGATAATGAGAGAAAGGTATTACACATGTGTTTTACTTGAGAGTAAAGCTGTAAATGTTTAATATTTCTCTTTGTCCTTCATTTTCCTTTCTTGTTTTCTGCTGTACCTCCTCTCCAAAATAATTCTCTAGTTTGGGGGAAAAAGGTTATTTGAAACATTAATTCAGGGAAGCAAATCATAATTTTTCTCTTCAAGACTAAACCTCTTTCGTCCTTTCCTTTGAAAAAAATATTTAGTGGAAAAAAGGAAATTATCAAATATTGTTTTTTTTTTCGCGCACCAGAGAGAAGATTCTGTTGAAACGCCTGATAATGATAATGAATCCGGAACAGATGGCCAGAAAGGGACAAGTCAAGATGAAGAACCTAATGGGAAAGGTAAGAGTTGAAAACAGGATTCTCGACCTCAATTCAAGAATTGTTATCCAAAATGTTTTGGCCGTTGGGTCACTGGTATCATGTATGACAGAACTCTTCCTGTTTCTCCAAACCCAACCGACCTTTGCATAGCAAAATCATTGCCTCTTGTTTTAATTTTTTTCCTCGATTTTTTTTTTTTTTTTTAACAGAATCGGATACAGCTACCCGTGACTACCCAGCTGGAATGGTGCTCTTGGAAACTTGCATGCGTTATGGAAAGATCTCTTACCTGCCTCTGGATGTTGTGCAGCGGAAGAACGGTTGGCGGCCTTCTACCAAAAACGAATCAGACCTCATGCAACGCCATAAGCAGACACCTGAGGCTACAGTGAGGTTTAGCAGTGATGGAAATGCAGCAATTAACTGCGTCGTTAAGGACGTGGCGCCTTTTTGGCGCAGATTTCGGATTTCTCTTTGGTTCCCTCAACTTAGGTTTCCTCAACTTAGGTTTCCTCAACTTAGGTTTCCTCAACTGAGGCCGTTTCTGTATGGTATATTTTTACTCTGTGGTTTCTGGGGGCTAATTCGTTGTATCAGAGTATTGCGGCCACGGTTTTGGCCCCTATTTTTTGGACTTAATGTCCAAACACAAAGTAGCAAGTGACTTGAGCATAAAAGTACAATGTATAGATGCTCCAAGAAATATGTAATTTCTTTGTTACTTGTTAGAAGAATCTGACTTCTTCTATGAAAATATATACCATTCTCATTCTCACTTCTGTTTCATCAATAAGGTTCTCGCCAAATAAGTATAAACTCAGGCTATGTAGAAGGTGATCAGGCAATAAGCTTTTCCCAAGGGACTGGCCACATAAGACAATAGAGTAAACAGTTTGAGGTTAGGGGTTGCATTTGACAATTCATCGTGTCATCTAAGATTAGTCCTGTTAAAAAAAACCGTGGTTGGTACTACAGTCAGCCTGAGCAGAAGTAATGACAGTGACCTTTCCGAAATAAAAGGAAACAGAAAGGTATCACATAATCAGAATGAAATGATGACTACCGTTATTGCTGGAATCTTTCCAATTATTATGCAGCTCCTTTTCCCGGTGATTATCAGCATTCAGTTTATTCAAGCAGCCATGTTTCCTTATAGAAAATTCGCTCTGTTAGGCAGTATAACTGGAAAACGAGTTATAACTTCAAGGAGTTACGTCATTCATAATGAATTGACCCGTTTTCTGCACATGAAAAAATAACCTTTGATGTTGCAGACGAACGGAAACCACTAGCAATTTGTTTTGGAAGAAGAAAAAACACCAAAACGGGAAAAACCGAATTGAGCAAAAAGATCATATTTCTGACATATTTCGAACGACCAACCAAAACCATACTTAAGTTAACTATTTGAGGATCTACAAACCTTAGTGTAGCTCCTTGACGATCGTCGCCAAAATGCAGCCATTCCATGTACTTGCGCCTTGCATTTTCTAAAAGGGTACATGTAGGATAATGAAATATATCCATTCAGTGTACTTGTACCTTGCGTTATCTAAAAGGGTAGGTAAATAAACTGTTCGGCAAGTGTCTCGAGACAAAATTTTGCAAAACAATCGGTGCAGCTTAAAGAAAATTTGCTCTCTTCAAGACATGCTGAGAGTATATCTCAAGTCTTTCGTTCTCTTCTCAGTTTTGTCGGTACCATTCCATCCTTTTCCCTTTAGTAGAGAAGAAAAATTGCGTTATTTTTCGTGACCAGATGTTTCGTTGCGTGACTAAGAGGCTGTTTTCTAAGAAACAGCACTTCTTGAAAACCGAAAAAAAAAGAACAAATCATCTACGCTAAACATGGCGCCCGCGAAGGAGACATCCGTTTATATCTGTAACTGCGACAAGTTATGCGATTTAAACGAGGTAGAAGAGCTTTTTAAAGCTGTCAAAAAGAAGCTTGCTGTGAGGACTTCCTTTCAGATCGAAAAACACTACTTCAGCGGCGGACAAATCTCCGATATGGTCAACAAAACCATCCCTAAATTGAAGATGGATTATGCGGTGTTTGTTGTGCATGCTGATGAATGCTGCCTCTCTTTTAGCGAGGACAGCGGTCACGGAAAGATCTATGAGGCTCTAAAGAAGCGAACAGGCTCTGGTAGGTTACCAATTTTTCTAGTACAAGGTCGTGTGTAATACATTCCTATTTCGTCACGTCACCCATTGTGTGTTGTTTCTAAGAACCTTCGGGTTATTCTTCTTGTACAGAGTAGTCAGAAATATGTCACCCAGTTCAACAACATATATGTCCCATCCAACGAAGAACGAAGAGTACGGACTATATTCTGAAAAATGTAAAAATAGAAAAGTTACGGCACAATATATGACGAAAAAATGAAAGAGCTAGTCTCTCGACCTGCAGTAGAGGTTGTCGCCAAAGAAAGTGCGAAAATGAGATTAAAAAAAGCCTTGTTACAGAGATAGGGTTCTTAAACACTTTAAGTTCAGCTCAAATGATCCATTTTTTCCAGTTCTTAAATAAGGTTATGGCTACAATGTGACGGAACTTCCAATACATCCAGAGCCTTATTGAATTAGTCGACGGACTACAGTTATGTTCTACCATTTATCTGTTTAATGCTCTATATTTTCAAAAAACACCTTCTTTTTGAATTCAAGATGAAAAAGTATTGATCGTCATAGGAGGAGATGTCAATTACAGGGACAAAGACGAAGAAAACCGTTCCATACTTTCACGACAGGCTAGGGATACAGTATTATCCCACCAACTTCGTCCAGAATTTATTGACGGTAGGAAAAGCTTTATATTTTCGTGGAACAAGAAACACAGAGCGATTCACGAAAACGCACTTAAACATTACTTTGATCCCAGCAAGAAGGGACAGAAATTTATGAATCAACTGGTCGCAGAGCCCGCTAGAATTGGACCTGAACTTGAAGAAGAAACCTTGATAACCTCTCTATTAGCCACACAAAGCCAGGTGACTATGACCTGATGTACTTGATTATCGATCTATGTATTCGAAGGTCTAGCATGTCTAATGCAATCCAGTGACTATCTAGCCCCAATATTGCAGATCATCGTGTTATAAATCTGAAAATTTTCTCGCGCCTACGGCTAACATATAAGAACATTTTCTATGGCTCAATAGTAGAGCACCAGAATGGGAAGCTAGACCGACGGTTTGAGGCTCGTTTCCTTCCACAATCGTCGCAGAGCGAATAACATCGTTCTTAGGTTAACTAAAAAGCTGATAATCTACCATCCTTTTCAATCTTTTTGCAACTAAAAGCCTGCTTTAAAGGTAGAAAAATGTCACAGTGCTTCCTTTGCTAAAGGGGAGGGAGGTTATCCCCTCAAGGGTTATTCAGAAGCCGAAGTACGTCGCATTAATTCGCTGTTCAGTCAGCATCTTTTTTAGTTGTAATTTTTATAATTAAGTTTAAGGAAAACTCAAGCGAGGCCTGGGGTCTGTGTTCTTTTCTAAAGCTTTCAGATTGAGATTTTAACTTTCAACACTACTCGATGGTGACCTACATGTCTAAAATATTCAATAGCCTTTGTTTCCACGCCAAACTTATTTAGATCGATTTATCATTTCACTAAATTGTTCATAGGAACTTGTTTTTGTTGCTAGATTCTCTCGAGGGGAGTTCTAGCCTCATTCCGTTACTCAAAACAATTTTTGGAAGGTTTCCAATTAATGGTAAAGTGGAATTGGTTAGACGGCTAAAACTATTTATATCCTGCCTTTTTTTTATCTGAAAATGAATAACCTTTGATAAGCCTTAGTAGATAAGTCGACAAATCATACTAAAGTAAATTCTTAGATAAGCTAAAAAGCTTTCATTTACGGTTAAATACGCCGACAAATATTGATTAAGACCCCGTTTAAATATCTTTTTATTTTTTATTTTTTTCACATAAAACACTCAGTCGCCTGAGATCTCTCTACAAGTACCTTCTGATATTGAAGAAGATACTAAAATCCCTGTTGATGAACAACAGGCCGAAATTGAAGATGAGAGTGAACCATCTGCTCTTCAAGGTATGGAAAACACTAGTAATACTATAGCATGGATATTGACTTCGTTGGAAGCAGAGGCTAGTTTTCCCTTGCTTGGCCGAGCTGTCTTCCCCAAGCTGTCTTCCTTCAAGCCCTTGTGTTGCTGCTCCTTTCTTGTTTAGGTCTCGACCAACACTAAGTACAGCTTTGTTGTACATTTCATAATAATAATAATAATAATAATAATAATAATTTAATATTTATATTGCGCAAATTAACATGTGGAAATGATCAAATGCGCATCACAACACTTTTCGGGGGACTTTGGCCGGACTGCATCAGCAGTTTACAAACAATCGAAGGAGACTTATTTGAAGATGCCCCCTCCCCCCAATTCCCAGTAAACAGGCCAGACCACATCACACTAATCTCGTGAGGGGGTTCTTTAACGTCCCCTGCCTAACCAAATTAACTAATTACTAGATCCAGGCGACGAGACCTACGGTTTATTCGTCCTTATCCGAGAAGAGTAGAATGTCTATCCATTTCTTGAGATTATAGAAAGGTAGCGGATTCTCCTCAGTTATTTTAAGACCTTGAGTGTTGGTCCGCCCGGGGCTCGAACCATCGACCTGGACCTCCCGCACAACAGTTCAGTGCTCTAACCAATTGAGCTAACGGGGAGGCGACGGAAACGGGTAAAACATTTTTATGCATACTGAAAATATGGAGAAATAGTGTTACTGTTCCCTGAAGACTTCTCGATTTATGCATGAATGTTAGTGAGCAATTGCCCCTTTAACAAGAGTTCTCTCCAGTCACCGCCTGAATAGTTCGGCTGTCTTAGGCTATTGGATGACCAAGGTTAAGATAACCAACTGTGTTCATGGAATTGTGGCGTTAATAGTAACTGGAGAAAAGCATATTTGAAAGATACCAAAACAGTACATGTCATTTACCAATAAATGCCTTTTCATGTTACTATTTTTCCAGTTTCCGCTTCACACTTCAGCACTCCTCATGAACAGTCTCGGTTTTTACTGCTGGAAACACGCATTCGTTATGGAAAAATTTCATATGAAAGCAAGGACGTGGTAACCTGGGTCGAAAGCTGGCAACCTTCTGAAAGAGATGCAGAAGATCTGGAACAAAAGTGTAAGTCAACACCAGTTGCCACATTGAAGATGTATGGCGACAAAAGTGGAGAACTTCACAGGGTTGTGGTAACACCAAAGAAGTCACGGTGTTCAATTTCCTAAGGAGATTTTGAATTAGTGAAAAAATGAGCTCGCACAAAACATTTTAAACTGCGGTGAACTCACCTTTCCTTGGTCAAATGTACTTCCTTTGTTCTGACGAAAGGGCAGCCGACTTGAAACATCAGCTTCTTAAAATTCGTTACGTTGATGTTTTTTCCTTTATAAGACCTCGCTAACACCTAATGGATGAAAGGCCAGCGCTGTTTCGGATGGTCACCCTTACAAATCGGTGCATAGCAATGTGAATTTCAAATGCAAATTAGAGGCAGCTCTTTTTTAATTTTGTCTGCAACATTAAGAACTAGTCTCTAAAGGATCAAACATCTTTCAAAATAAAAATTTTCAACTTTACTATGATTAATTTCTTCAAAAGTGTACCGATTCTGGAACTGAAGCTTAATTAGCACCTAGTTTGTTATAACATTCTAGTTTTTAGATATGTAAAAACCTTTGCGAGCCGGCCTCTACTTTTCATGGGGACAATTTACAAACGAAGCTGAAAAATCAGGAATTGCATATATCTTGGTGATGTTTACATCAAAAAAAAAAATGGAATGTGCATGATTGTAATCTTTTAAGCCATATCCAGAAGAAAATTATTGCCTCTGGTTGTCATCTTTTAAAAGAAATGGATCCGCTTTACGGCGCGGCATGGAGGATTACTCGACGCAACTACAAAGAAGTCGTGTGCATAACATCCAGATCCGAGTGCTATACCTTCCTTCATGGGAATTTGAGCCTAAATCCATTGACGATACACTGCTATACTGCTATGTCATTTGCAACAAGTTAAAGTCGGCTGACTCGAAACTCATCATTTGTCAATAAACTTGAACATTATCATGATGGCGTAACGCTGTATTTCTCCATTAAGTTTCCATCTGTAGCTCCAAAGAAAACGAAAAACAGGTATTTTTCCCTATTTCAGTAGATTTCTGCGCATTCCGAGCTAAAAGCAAACAAACAAATAAAATTTCTTGTTTTTAAAGATGTTTGATTCTTTACTGAAATGATGTCATAAACATTCTCCAAGAATGCGTTGGTCTAAGCCTAAAATATGTTGGACTTGTGCTACAAAGCACTTCTGTTCCTATGTAATTTAGTGGGATTACTTTTTCTGCCACATCTGATGAAAGAGCGCAAGAATTTAGTTTTTACGAAAAAATTTTTAACAACATAACTTTAAAAAAATGCGGCACATTTTGCCAAAGTTGGTTGAGACTGATTAACCCTGGTCGTCTCTTTATCAAAGTATCAAAGCATCATATACCTCTATTTGATAGTCATACAGAAATAATCTTAATGAGACACGACGGAATATAAAAGAAATAAGTAGATCTCTCTATTCTGTCGCATATATTTGTCGATAATTCTAATTACCGTGTGGCTTAGCAAAAGTGGGAAGTGGTCACGAAATGGACATTTAGTTCACGTCAGCAATCATATCGTTGCGTGACGGGTTGTTTTTCCCGGAATCAGGAACTTCCGCTCCTAAACAGACAGCTGGAAACATGGCGCGTAGTAACCGAACGGAGTTTCACCTCTTTAACTGCGATAAATTGTGTAAGTTAAGTGAGGTAGAAACTTTGCTCAAAGCCGTTAAACGAAAGGCTTCTTCACAGATCAAGAAACATGAGTTTAGGGGGGAACAAATCGAAGAAATCGTTGCTCAAGAGATTCCAAAATTAACGTCGATGGATTACGCTGTGTTCATTGTGCATGCAGCTGAGGCCTGCCTCTCCTTTAGTGATGAAAGTGGCTACGGAAAAATCTATGAGGCTCTCAAGAGGCGAACTGGCTCAGGTAGGCTCAAAGTTAACCGCATAAGAAAGAAGAAGTTCTTGATAGTTCTAAGGTCACATAACTCTTATTTTCGCGATGTTTCTGGGAAACCTCTCCCTCCAAATATTAGTTTGACACAAACACATTTAGGGCTTCATTTCCAAATCTTGCCAAATTTTTGATCCGTCGTTTTGTCTTTGAAATAGTAACTCTAACGATCAGCGGGTCACCGTATACGGCTATACGATTCCTATACTCCTCGAATCACTAAGGATAATAACACCTTTACTTCGAGACATGTTTTCGTGTCCACTTTTGCATTTTGAAATAGTAAACAATGTTCAAAACAGTGTGGACTGTGGGCTACAGATTACAGATCTCCCCCTAAAAATAAAGCACTTTTGCCCGAGTCTTTTTTTAAAGTTCCATGATGTTCTATTTTTTTATGTGTATAAGAACTTTCATTTCAGCGAACGTAATAAAGTGATTGCAGCCGTAGCTTTTCGATGATGCAACTATTGTGCCACTACCTATCATCTTTAGAGTTTTAAAGCTAACAAATCATTTAAATTATAAAATGAATGGCGAAATGAATGTAAATTACATGAAAAGTTAGCCTAGCATTAAGAAAGAAGAAATTGAGTTTTCAAACCCGCACAAAAGGTAACTGGCCGCCATCTTTCAAATGCTGACATACGTGTAGTAGTTATGCCTCCAACTAAAGGCGTCCTCGCATCCATTTCTCTATGAAGTCACCTTGAAGTCACATGTAATGCTACCTTTGGATTTCTATTTTCTCGAGATGAAAAAGTTTTGATCGTTATCAGTGGGGACAAAAATTACAAAAGCAAGAGCGAAGAAGACCAGTTGTTCCTCTCCAAGTGGGCAAGGGATACTATTTCTCGTCAATTTCGCACACATCTTGTGGATGGAAGAAAAAGTTTCATCTTCTCTTGGAATCAGAAACACAGGCCAATCCATGAAGAAGCACTGCTGCATTATTTTGATCCAGAGAAGAAAGGACAGAGGTTTGACCTTCAAACGCCAACTGCTGCGACCCCAAAGCTCCCAGGGCACCCCCCTACTCCTTCACACCACTCAGACATCCAGCAAGAGGTAAAAACGTGCAAAAATACCATAAAGAATAACTAACTCTTTTTATAGACCCTAAGGATTTAAGCCTTTTCATAACTTCTATTCTTATACAATTTGTCTTGAAAGAGTGGACAGAGTTGTACTATTGACTGCTAAGTGAGGGGAAGGGAGGGGGGAAGAGGGCTAGGTTTGTATCATGATAACATACCAAGCACTAAATGACATGGCTCCAACCTATCTTGTTGAACTTCTTAGTCGATATATTCCAGCACGAAGACTCCGTTCATCAAATATGAATCTACTTGAGGTCCCAACAATTCGAACTAAAACGTATGGACAAAGAGCATTCTCCTACGCTGCACCGTATTTGTGGAATCAACTACCTGAATGCATAAAAAACGCTGAATCTGCTGACTCCTTTAAACGCTTATTGAAAACTTATCTTTTCAAAAATTAAGCCACTAGATTTTTTTGATCTCGTACGTTGTCAAATATATGTATAACACGTAATACGTCGTTAGTTTAGATAGAGTAGCGATAAATGCATGTATAGGATTTTTATTGAAATTTTGTAAATTGTAATTGTAAAGCGCATAGAGTTCAATTTTAATGCGCTATATAAGAACTAATAATTGAATTAAATTAAATTAGGTTTATCGGAGAAATTTGCAATTGTGGCTGGTGACAGATGAATTGGGGTTTATTATTAGAGATTCTTCTATTGGTGTAAAACCGTTTGAGGAGCCAGATCCCAATTCCTTTTCGTTAATATATGTCCGTCCCTTACCTTTGGCAAATTCTTTAAGTGGTACGTAGGGTGTCGTAATCAATTATGTCCACTGTTGTTAATCCTCTGGAGACTAAGATTTAAAAGCACATCATAAAAACATCCTTCTTCAATGCCTATTTACATGTTATTAACTATTCCACGTAGGATTCAGAAATATCTGTACCAAAATCAGCTGATACTGAGGAGGCTGCACTCCAACGGAGTGTGACACAGGGCCAGAATTCGGGGTGTCAGTACGAAGAAGACGGTGAACAACAAACTTTGGATGTCACTCAAACTAGGTTACAAGGTATTGTCGTGGGATACTCTCTATCAATTCATGGATGCTTGTTTTTGAGCCTGTCCAGCAAGACTGGAATGCTCCGTTCATATATTGTTGCACGTAATGAATGTGTCTCTGTTACTCCCGGAGTTTCTCTGGGGTTGAATGATGAAGTGAAATTAATTTCGTTATCAATTTTAGAGCGAGCAAAAAGTATTCCTGAAATAGCAGCCAGTTTGCGTTTACACCAGATTGTAATAAAATTAAAGTTTGTGTTTTGTCGTAGTCTCATACGGTTAACTCGTATTCATTTTGTTACTAGATTCTGATGAGAATTCAGGAAAGAGCAATTTACGGCGTATCTTAAAACTACAAACAAGTCTGCGCTATGGTAAAATATCATACCGTAGTGCAGACGTGGAGACCTGGGACGGAAGCTGGAATCCTCCTGACAGCGAGGTAAAGAAGTTAGAACAGGAATACAAGTCAACACGCGTCATTCGATTGACAATCTTTGTTGATGAAAATGATAAGATTTGCGGTGTTATTGTGAAACCATATACCTTACGGGATTATTGCACAATTTCGTAAAGGCCCTGTTATTTTAGGCTATTAAAGAAGAACGTCATCAACCATGCATGAGTCTATTGTAGTAGCCGGATACTTGACCATGCTATTTACCTTAATCTACTAGCGTTCTATCACAAGTACTGCAATCTTATTAGTTATGCTACTATCTATCTATCCCACGATATATAGTCAGTACATTGAGTAGACGAACTATGGCAAGCCAATTGAAGCAATATTCAATACTAACCGGAAGCAATTTTGAATGTATTTTTTTTCATTGAATTGAACTTGAATTTTCATTGAATTGAAACTGAATTTCATTTAATTGAACTTGAATTTTCATTGAATTTCATTGAATTTTCATTGAATTTCACTGAATTGAAATTGAATTTCATTTAATTGAACTTGAATTTTCATTGAATTTCATTGAATTGAAATTGCATTCCATTGAATTGAAATCTAATTTCATTGAATTGAAATTGAATTTTACTATTGAATATTGCTACAATTGGCTTGCCATACCATGACTAACTTTGTGTGGTGATAAACAGAAGAAAAAAAAAACATGCCTTGATGTTACATTAAGGTTATGAATGATTTAGAAATTTATTGTAACCATACTATATCATTTGCCCTCGATCTTTCGAGCTTATTATCTGACTGTAAATTGGTTATAGGAGGAGTTGATTAGTAGAGGGTTCAGACAAGTGAGGTTTACGTTTAGATTTACGTTCCATAGCTCTGTTCACGAAACTAACAGCAGTTATTACAATGCAAATTTGTGAGTCAGTTATATTCACGATGTAAACGTCTGCTGACGCAATCATCTAACAATGTTTATCTAAGTATTGTAATGACTCGGTACAGTAAAGTCTCTAAAGCATTAAAATTGTTCAAGAACTGAGATACCATTAAACCTTAGAAAAAGTTAAAAAATTTCTTGAAACGCGATATGAAATAATTTTTCGCGGAGTTCTAATGGGCTCTTGCTTTCTCAGAAAAAAGTATTTTTTGTTTTAAGAGTTCTCACAACTATTTGAAGCCCCCTCTCCCACCCATTTATCCAACAGTGTTGAAGGCAGCCACGAGGCTTGACAGAGAAAATTCACCTTTGATTTGGGGTTTGGAGAGGGAGGTCAACAGCAAGACTCTTCGGTGGGATGAAAATTAATCGTGCGAATACTTTAGCCAAGGCATGGTGGAAGCTCCCCTCTATAAATGTATTGCGAAAGTTGTATCGATAAAAAGTGTCTGTATTTCATCTCAATGATACATCTATTGCGTTGCTCAGTTCTTTAAATAGATGAATAATACATTTCCATTTAAGGTTATATTGCGTGACTAAGCCGTAATGAATTCTGGGTATCTTCTACGAAACCAAACTAATAAAACCATTTCGCAAGAATAAATATTTCGTTTATTAGCGGATCCTTCCTCTTGTATAGGTCTACAAAACATGGAGATACAAGTTAAAAACTGTAAGACTGTTCACCTTTTTAACTGTGACAAAACTTTCCAACTGGATTCAGTGGAAGCACTCTTGGCTGCAGTGAAAGGCAAACTTGAATTCGAAATATCAACCAAACAGCATTCATTCAGACTTTCGGAGATGTCCCGTTTGAGCGACAGCATAGTTCCCTCTCTGCAAATGGATTTTGCCATTTTTGTCGTTCATGCCAATGAATCTCGACTCTCTATCAACGAAGACAACGCTGGCATTGGTTACGCGAAGATCTACAGAGCTTTGCTTAAAGCGACTGGTGAGTCTTACTGGTTAGATTATTCGGACGGAAGTGTGAACGTTGTTGTTTGATGAAAAGCTGCATGTAGTTAACACGCAAAGATTGGTGAAAGAACTCCAACCACCTGATCGGTCAGGATAACGTACAGCTGATTGACATCCGAATTTCAACCGACGATGCTGGATTGTCGTAAGGTCAAACTTCTTAGCCCTTTCAAACCGAAATATGTATAATTCATTTTTACTTCCAAGTTTCAGGCTTTTCAATTCAGTTTTGTATGTAACCATAATTTCAGGCACCAATTAAAAAACCTTTTTAGTTATCGATCTATGTTACTACATATATTATCTCTATTGCCAGATTCGTATATGTAGTTAGATACATATATTTCAAACAAAGGGAAGTAACGAAATTCATTGAGTTCGTTTCCTGCGTAATAAGTCAAAATCAGGTGAATTGTACTGTTTATTTGCAGAAAACTATGGAAAGGCTGAAAAATTATTATTCATACAGATTAAAATTGTGTCAAATTTCATCACCGGGTTAAAGTAATCCTGTGGTGAGGTAAATCGTAAACCCGGAAAACTTTCAAAACAAAATGTAGAATCCGTCACACAGAAGTTTTGAAATTAAATACGTGTTCTTAGTTTGCACGGTTAGCCATGCTATTGCTGTTCCGATTTTGTCCGAGAATTCATAGCGACGAATCCTCAACGTTCGATAGTTGTTTTACTAATTTTTAAAACTGTTTGCTACCATTAGGCGAAAAAGTTGTGGTAATTATAGGTGGTGACGACAACTATGAAGGGAAAGAAGAGGAAAACAAAGCTGTTCTGTCACGTTGGGCTCGGAGTAAAGTATCGTCACAATTCGGGAAGGAATATCTTGACGGAAGGAAGAGTTTCAGTTTTTCCTGGCACACAAACCACCGAGCGATTCACGAAAAGGCTCTTATACACTTTTTTGATCCAAGTAAGAGGGGCGAAAAATTTGATTATCATCTGCCAGAAATCATTCTACCAGCCGATGCTTTAAACGCAACAGCTGAGAAAAATGAACAGGAGTTGAATCCTCAATCAGATACTAGACCATGTACGCCAATAAGCAGTCCAGAAAATAATTTACCGTTTCCAACGGATAAGGTGAGACTAGAGAGTTGTTGCTAAATTCTTAAATCAAGTTTGATGATTACTAGAGATTATATTTTGGCAAGTTCTATTCTTAATACAAGTATATAAATATATTAAATCTGAGGGTACATATTCGACGATTCAAGGAGATGGTATATGTTGCCCGATAATGCGGCAAGAAACCGTTTCTGTCTAACAGAAAATATCACTCTGAAACACAGGTCGAGTATGTCAATGAATTTGAAGTAACTTACAACAAAGACGAGGAGGAAGTAACCATTGCTGTTGGTCCTCACGATCAAATTCCTACAGGTAAGCTTCAATTTTAATCGATCTTGATCCGTGAGTTGTCTTCGTCCCGCTTTTGCACCATCTAATCTACTATATGATCTGAATCTTGTCCTGTAATATTGTTCTTACCCCACCAGGGTCGATTTATAATTACCCAGAAGGCTCAGTTCTTCTAGATACTCGGCTTCGCTATGGGGAAGTCTCAGAGGACGTGAGTGATGTGGTTCAAAGGAAGAAAGGATGGCAGGTACCGGAAGGCTACAGGGATCATCTGAGGGGAAAACATGTGGCAGACCCCAACCTTGGAATAAAGTTTGTTGTTCACCGGAACGAGCTTACCACAGTTGTAATCCGCAACTGGTTTCGACCGTTTTGGGGGGGATGTTGTACTGTACTCTAAGCGTTAAGAAAGTATATATTTTTCAACAAACTTTCCTAAACAACCAGAAGTAATATATATTCATCTTTCGAGGCAGAGCGTCGAACAATCTATAGTTTAAACAGAGATGACCAATAACTTCATTTTCGATGCATGGCAAAGATTACTTTAGTCCTGGGTTTGAAAGCTTGCAGAAATACCAATCATTGTAAAGACATTATTGACATAACGCTGTCGTTAAGTTCTAGTTGGGTGAGAAAGCTCGCCACAGTTGGACAAAGGTGATTTGGCTTCCGTACTGATTCCTCAATACCCATATTTTAACGTCCAACCTACTATGCATGCAAAAGTCCCACTCTCCAAGAGTTGTAGTCACTGATCGCCTGTATTTTGTAACTGATTTTAAGAAAGTTTAGAATGCTAATGATTCTGCGAAACATTGAATGTCCTCGCACAACAGTTTCCTAGAACTCTTTTGTTTCAAATTTGATTTTCGAATTGTTTCACATCGCTGGTCAAGGGTACAAGGTCTTAAATAAAGAAATTAATAACCATACTATTTTATGGAAATTTGTTAAAAGTCGAAGTCAGAAAACTGATCGAAAAAAACAGCTTGAACCTAGCAAAGATCTATTTAAATAAATAAATAAATAAATAATAAATAAATAAAATTTATTTATTTATTTATTTAGATATGTGGAAGATGAGTCAACGTTATTGTCCGCTTCTTGAGGGTATCTTGAGCCAATCATTTGTGGATTTGTTGTGGGAGATTTCATTGTAAGTTCTTCCGATGGTTGAAGACTAGGACGAGTTTCGTCAAAAATGCTGTGCGCATCTTCCATGAACTCACCTGGCACGTCAGAGCCGCGAATTGCAAAATCTAAAGAGTAGAACACACTTGGTCACACATGTAAGCATTTTTATACTACCAGGCACAGTTCCCTGATAGTACGCGCTTTGGACCCGGGGTCAATAAAATTGGAACCAAGCATAATTTATGATTGACTTTTATGTATACTAAATGTTTTGATATCGTGCAATCAATTGTCTTACTGTAAATAATGTTTTCAAAGCTGATTTCCGGATTTGAACATTCTCTTTACTAAGAAGAGCATAGACGTTATGACTATTTTAATGAGAACTGCTATTTTGGTCCATCCTAACCTTTGGTTTCTCCATTAATTAAAGATGTTGTTTATCTGGGACCACCTCTCTGATAAATGAGAGGTGTATCAGCCGGCCTCTATTCTGTTTCTTTACCCGTTGTGAATGAAGAGGTGGCGTTACCGTAATGCGAGGAACTTTACATTCTACATTTGAATATTTTATTTGTACTTTCGAAAAAAAATCTTACATAACTAACAAAGGGTAGATAAGTCGAGGAAACACAATGTTTTCCTGAAATCCTTCACAGAAATTTAGGTCCGTTTCTTGTTCATTTTATGTAAGAGATCAGTACCGCAAAAAGTTGATATCAATGTTCCTATCATCAAGAGAAAGATCGTAGCTGAAAGAGTACAATTACCTATAAAAGAAGACGACTACGCAATGTTTCTGAGAAAGCCTGTAGACATTCTGATCGACATGTGTCATGCTATCCCAATACTATATTACAACAGAAAGCGTTACATGACGTATCAATGACAGATTGTCGTCATTGTCAGTGTCACATCATATTACATCTAATCAAAATATAAATTTCACTACAAATAAATCAGATCGATAGCTTACACTTCGAGTTATTTCCTACGGCATATCGCCTCTAGTCGTTTGTCGTTCGAAGGCACAGTTCAAGGTTTTTTCCACCTCGAAAAAAGAGAATTTTCCTTTACCGTTCGAATTACTTTTTTAAAATTATTTTTACCTATAACTACACATCGAAAGTTGTCAGAGTCATTTGAAATGATGTACAGGTCACCAGTAGGCTTATTATCTATTGCTCTGAACCCATCAATAATGTGTTGCGGAATACACTTGTTCCCATACTTAAACTGTACAGCAACGTCTTCAAATGACACCACTCCGTTGTAAACACGAGTTTTGAACACCAGTTTTTCATCGGCAGCAAGCTGTACTTCCCCATCCAACGAAAGCTCTTTCAAATTTGGATCAGTGCAACACTCAATTGAGCCATCGCTGTGCTTCATGACTATCACTCCAATCAAAGGTGTGTTGCGATGTTTTTTAAGCAGTCTCTCTTGAATGTCATCAGGAACTTTAAACCCAGGGTCCCATATTTGAAGGTCACCTATCCGATCAGGTGCCTTTCCATAACGAGCGAAACCTCTCAGCAAAACAATGGGAGGGGATTTAACTGAGAATTGTGACGCCCGCACCAGCTGTTGGGTATTTTGAGTTGGGGTGCTTTTTTCCTCTGATAAATTCCGTTGAAGATAATCTTGACCCCCTCCTTGTGCGTCTCTCTCATTACTGAAAGAGGGTTCTATCCCCTCCCTGTCTCTGCCGCTGCGCGCAGAACAACTGTCGCCATCACGGTGTGAATCAGCCTGCCTTACTTCGACCGCTGTCAGTTCAGAAGTGGCTTCATTGTTACGTAGGAGACTTTTGTCGGTTTTCTGTGGATTTTGTAAGCCTGGAGATTGGATTTCTGGTTTTGTCTGTTGGTTTGGAGATTGCTGCTGATATTCGAACTTTTGTCCTTTCTTGTTTGGGTCAAAGTGATGCAGCAGAGCTTGTTCGTGAATCGCTCGATGTTGTTTGTTCCAGGAAAAGATAAAGCCCTTTCTACCATCAAGATACTCTTCACTGAATTGTGACGAAACTTTCCTTTTCGCCCAGCGTGAAATAACCTCTCGATTCTCTTCGCCGTTTCCCTCGTAGTTGTCATCTCCCCCTATAACGACGATTACATCTCCTCCTTTGGACAAAGCAGATGTAAATAGCATAGAGTATCATTGATTTTGTAAATAATTATTACTGAGGCTCCGAGCGTACGTTACTGGATAAGACGCGGGAATCTGAGGCCGTAACAATTATCCACTAAAAATCAAATGTACTTTCCAATGTTAGTCTGTTTGTAAATCGTATCCGTGGCCGTTTTGATAGACACGCTAGTTGATGACCACCTTAAAAAACGTTATGATACTTGTTCCGGTGTCGCGAATATTCTCCAACGAAATTCTAAAGCTTAGAAAAGTCCGAGCTCTTCCCTTTTATGTGAGTGTTCCCACCCCTGAGAGTCGAAGAACAAGAACAGAAACACGAGTCCGAGTGCAAACTCTGAGTATTACTTTGACACAGCTGCATGAAACAATTGGTCGCTATGTGCCACTCTACAGAGCACCCGTCGAACTTGATCAAACGAAAGATATCAACTTAGGCTAATAAACTACAATATCTGAGCCTCTGCTTTGGGAGATATTGAGCACTTCTGCCGTGATATATTCGATTAAGTTACCGCCGAGAGAAAACTTGGTTTGCCGAACGGCGCTTTATCAAGCAAATGTGTTTAGAACAAGGAAAAATTGAAGTTACAAACTTCCGCTTCTTACCCGTTGCTTGTAGCAAAGCTCTGTATATTTTGGCGTAACCAATTCCAGAGTTGTCTTCGTTGATCGAGAGTCGAGACTCGTATGCATGAACCACGAAAAAAGCCATATTCATCTCTAAGGTTGGAATCTTTTCGACGTTTTCAGACATTTGAGCAAGTCTGAATGAATGCTTCTCTACACGCTCAACATGGATACTGAACTGGTCAAGCAATTTTTCAACAGGCTCTAGCTTGTACGTGTTATCACAGTTGAAAAGATGAACTCGCTTTTTTAACTGCGACATATTAATTTTGTGCCTTTTCTGTCGCTTTGAACGTAGCTGTTGTTCGAATCCTGGTAGAAGACGTCTTGATTTTTCAATTCGCCTTTTGTAGAAGACGACGGCTTGCGCTATGTTTCCGACACTGAAAGCCTGTCACTTTTTTGATCGACATGGGTCACACAATCACAACACAATATTGCGACACACTGGAAACCCAAGGTGAGCAAGGAAACCCAAGGTGAGCAAGAGTGGCAGTTTGGTAGCCCACATCATGATAACTTCTCAAATTTATTTCCTCTGCATGGAAACTGCAAGAGAGGAAATGAAGCCATTTTGGTGTTAATCAGTATTAAGAATAAATATTAGCGAGAAAAACACACAACGTTTCGATGACTCCATGTCATCATTCTCAAGTGAGAAGAGAATAAAAATGAATAGTTAATTTATACCGTACGAAGGTGACAAACGTAAAAAGTTAAAAAATTTTTTAAAAAATTTAAATAAATAATTACGCGTGTTGAGTTCATAAATGTAAACTATTAAATAAATAGTTTCGCGCGTATGGAATCCGATTGTTTGTTCAAAGAGGGCTTCATCTTCTTTATGAAAAGAATTTCATGAACTAAACAGTCCAGTTTCCCGTCACACAAGCTCTCATCACACAAGCTCGTCACACAAGCTCGTCACACAAGCTCGTCACACAAGCTCTCATTCTTCCAAAAGCTTGTTCTCTCCCGAGGTTTAAAGTTCTCCCTTCCACAACGCATATCTGCCATCGAGATAAAAGCTAGTTTTGAAAAACTCTACTGGAAACTGGAGCGGACTCTTGCTGATGACAAGAAAGAGTTAACTGCCGCAACCCTCCGTTCTATTGCACTTAATTACATCGAGTGCAAATCACCGAAGCCGCCAAAACCACTTCAAAGGGCTATAAAGCAGTTGAAACGACTTGACAACATCGTCGTCACGAAGCCAGATAAAGGTACTGGTGTAGTCATCATGAACAAATCTGATTATATTAACCTGCTGAGCCAGGCATCTATCAATGATACATCGAAGTTCACACCTGTCAGCCTGCAGAGACCAAAAACGAGAGGCCGCCCAGTAAAGCATTACCACCCTCTATTGGAGAAGGAAAAGCACCTTGCATCTGTTGTACGGAAGATCTTACCAAAGCAGATTGCCGACTGTGTTTGCCAGGCTGGCTCACGCCTTGCCCATCTTTATGGACTCCCTAAGACACACAAAGAGAATCTATCGATGAGACCTATCCTATCTGCCACCGGCACTTACAACTATGCCCTCGCCAAGTGGCTTGATGACAAACTGAAGCCCCTGTCAAGCAATCGCTACACAATATCAGATACCTTCTCCTTCGCCGATGAGATTCAAAACCTAGTCATCGACGAGAATGACATTCTGGTATCCTATGACGTCACGTCACTATTCACTAATGTGCCGCTCCATAAAACGATCGAAATCATCGCTAAGAAGGCGTTCGCTGACAACTGGTTTAATGCTACACACGACCTCAGCATTACAAAGCCTGAACTGGTTCAACTTCTAGAAGTTGCAACTATGAATCAACTATTCCAATTTGATGGCAATCTTTACGAGCAGATCGACGGTGTGGCCATGGGTTCTCCATTGGGCCCACTTATGGCAAACGCATTTCTCTGTTCTATCAAAGAGAAACTAGATGAAGACAACAAGCTCCCTGAATTTTACAGAAGGTACGTGGATGACCCGTTTGCTATTGTCACAAGTGTACCAGCAGCAGAAGATTTATTATCAACGCTAAATAACCGCCATCAGTCCATACACTTTACCATGGAGCTAGCAAGTTACCTTTTGTAAAACAAGTTACCTTTTGTCGGTATGGAAGTGCTCAAGAAAGGCTGTAAACTAGAACTAGTGTTTATCGGAAACCAAGAAACACAGGCCTACTGCTTCATCACCAGAGCCACGTCGATAAAAGGTACAAGAAATCACTACTCAAGACCATGTTGAATCGTGCATTCCGCCTGTCGTCCACATGGGAGTCCTTCAAATCTGAATGTGATCATCTAAAGATGATGTTTACAAACCTCAAGTATCCCGACCACCTCATCAATTCCACCATTTCTCACTTTGTCA